ATTATTCATTAAATCAATTAATAAATTATTATTCACCTGGATATACTACCATCTAGATATAGTTTCTAGGTGGTGTTTCTTGCACTCCACAGTTGTATGATATCTTACACTGGATAATATTATAATTTTATGAATGATGCTTTAAATAACACATCTCTTTAAGAATTATTTGTCTCTGGTATGAAGTAACTATGAAAGCCGGAACTATGATATAGATAAAGCCATTGTACCTTCGACAGACCGTCAACCTTATGTACTCGTACATCAATTCATTGAGAATGCAAATTGTAGAATTAAGTAAAGTAGAAATGCTAGAAAGCAAAAATAGAGTCAATATTGGCATTTTCAATAGGAAGTTATAATTAAAATTAAATTAATTCCTTTTCGTATCCATCATTCATTTTTTTCGTGGCCCGTAGTTACTGTGAAACCTGTATATAATTCATTAATTTCAACCAGAAATAACGCAAAAACTACTCCTTTTTCAAAAAATTATACGTGACCTTTTTTAAAGAGCAAATTTTGTAAAAGAGACTTTGTCTGAAGCGAAAATTTCTCTTCAATTTTGTAGTTTTGAATTTTTTTGCAATTATTGAAAAAAAAGCAATGCCCGAAAATGAGACTAGCACTATATTTCTTTACGTTTCTTATTACATATGTAAAGAAAATATATGTAGTGGATTTTGAGAAAATTATTTTTCGAAATTTCAATCGCAAAACTTACTCTTTTTCACAAAAAATTAAACACGACATTTTTTAAGACTTAACTTTGAACAACACTCTTCGTCTGAGGCAAAAATCTGTCTTCAATTTTGTTCTTTAAGTTTTTTTAATTTGAAAAAAAACTAGCAAAGCTCGAAAATATGACTAGCAGTATATTTTTTATCGTCTCTTAACAAGGGAAGAAAATTTACAGAAAGAAATTGGAGCGGTTTTTGAGTACATTTCAATCGCAAATAATGCAAAAAACTAATCATACTCCTCCTACAAGTGTACATGACATTTTTTAAGAGCTATTTTTTTAACCGGCTTTGCCTGAGACAAAAATCTCTAGTTTAAATATTATTTTTTTTTTCAATTTTCGAAAAATGAAGGGTGTCATCGAAAATTAGACCTGCACCATTCTCTTAAACATTCTTTTGAACTATTTAACAACAAAATTTCATCAAAAAATTTGGAGCCACTTTTTACTTTCTCATCTTACGAATTCTTCGTAAGAAATCGTGAGCCAGAAAAGGCCGAAATTTCACCAGAAAAAAATTTTGCCGGGTTTTCGTAACGAAGAAGTAGATAAATTCTGTTGCTAAATTTAGAAAAAAATCCTCTAACTCGTGGTGAAACCATAATCCATGTTTTGTTGATTCTTCATACCGAAAAATCGTTTGACAACAAAAAACGTCCGTTTCTAGCTGTCCGCCGGTGGTCAAAGTTAGCGCCAAAACTGTTCAGCCGATTTTCTTCAAAATTCATATTCCTCAATTGATCTGAATGAACTCGTGGCTTTTGGGGTTTCAAACGGATTTTTTTGAATTTTAAGGGTACTTCATATGAAGCCTCAAACACATTTTCAAAATTTTCTCAGAAATAGTTCCAAATTGTTTGATTAAATTTTGTTGCTGAATAGTAAGAAGGACGTTTAAGAGAATGGTTCAGATTTTATTTTCGCTGACTTGCCTGATTTTTCGAAAATTGAAAAAATGTTTTAAAATTAAAAAAATTAAGATTAACAGTCTGTTGTACAAAATTAGGTCTTTAAAAGGGTCATGTACATTTTTGTAAAATTTAGTAGTTTGGGGATAATTTGCATTTGAAATTTACGATTTTCCCCCTCTCAAATACGCTCCAATTTTTTTCTTTACATTTTTTCCACACGTGTAATAAAGAACGGTAAGAAATTTTGTGCTAGTCCCATTTTCGTGTTTTGCTCTTTTTTTGAAAATTACTAAAAAACTAGCGACGCGTACAGCGACTTATAAACTGACGATAACGATTCCCTCGAGATCTCATTGCTTCTTCAATTGTTTACTAATTTTCGCCCATTAGTCCCATCAACTGGCTCCTTGAGCGCGCAGCGATCGCCCTGCCCGCCCATACCTAGAGCATGTAGTATACACTGAGGACGAGAGCGTCTTGCACATTCTACCGCATTTTCCTGGTCTGGCGCTTCTCGATACTACCCCCTGCATTCAGAGACGTGCACAATCTACAACTGTAAGTGAAATTAAACTAATTACTGATATGCGAGGCGAATGGACTGCACGAGTCTACCTCTCAGTTCGGTAATAAAGTTAAATAATATTGCAAAGAGTAGTATTGTACGTGCCCGATTCTGTATTTTCGCATGGATCGATTTACGTAGCTGTCTTAAGCGTAAAAAGCTTTTCTAATATTCTTGAGGCTATCAAGGAAGGCAAAAATGTAACTGTCAAGATTGTCTAATTACTTCAAATGTTGTTTTTAAGTAATTGATGTGCATTGTTCCAAGAAAATCTGTCAACAATTCTTAATAATACTTTATTAATTTGTTACAAACCTCAATTTTATTGTTTGTTCTTTTTATTTGATATTCTATACATTGGAAGTTACCTTTATACATTTTTTAACAAATAAATACGTTTCGTGAACAACTTTCCCTCCTAATATGGAAATGGAAGGATAGAGAAGGTGACGTTTAACATGCGAGAGTTCACGCATGGGTATGCTAGTTTTTTTTAAATTGCAAATATTGCTTGCAATATTGCGCGAAAACAACTAAAGTTTTGAAAACAAATGTATATGACCTAAATGAAAGAACTCACAATGGAGAACAAATTTGATTTGAAGGAAAAATCTCTATCTTTAATTTTGTATTTGTAGGAAAAATTTT